CTGGAATGTTTCTGGGTCTGTTTTAAACTCATCCTTAAGTGGGTGTATGATGGGGTCTGTCCTAACTTCTTCATTCCCCAAAATAACATGTTTCTGAGTAAAGTCCATGGTGAAGCACAGCATCATCTATTTATAAGACTGTATGGACTTTATGAGAAAGGGATAGTATTCCTTCTACAAACTCCCTCACTTAGGTCTTGTATTATAAATGTCCTTCATAACCCCCACCTCTCCATCTGTACAGATGAACATACTCTGATTTCTGAGGCTGAGTTTGATACAGAGCTACTCCACGAGATAGACAAACATGACGCACTTCCCACACCAAATCTAGAAACCTGTATGAGATATCTACATACAACAGAACAGATGATAGACTCACTCCTTCTAACACAGTATCAAGTCACGATGCTACAGAAACTTACAGCTTATGACCTTCAGAAATCAGCTTTCATATTACAAATGGAAACTTACACACATAAGAACAAACTGAGGTATAGAGCTGACAAAATGTCCTGTTATATGCTGAAATTAGCAGCCAAGTTTGGTTGTATTACTGACATGATGTACATAGCTATGTATTATTACAAGACACTTAGATACATGGAAGCTTTATCTATTGTAGAGATGATCAAGGTCAAGTTAGCACAACCATACCTAATGTATGAGTATAATGTAAATATAGAGATGTATACTGAGGCTGTAGGGGGTCAGTCCTGGTCTACAAAGATGAGACAGGCTGTAGCATGGTATATCATTCTAGACACTGACGTCCAGTACATCAGTGAATTGATACCAGAACAACAGTCTGCTCTACAGAACAACTTGTCTTCATTATCTATCCCACCATTTGTACTGTTATACATGCTAGAGATCTTGTGCTACAGACATGTAGACACAATGAGAGTACATACAGCTCTAGATGATCTACAGACCCTAGTTCACTATGATCAGGGACAGTTTGTACCTTTACATCTCAGAGACATATCATGGCAGATTCTGGGGATCTGTCAACAGGTGACAGGGAACCTCCAGGCTGCTCTATACTCATACCAACAGTCTCTCAGACAACCACCATACAACAGCATACACAGACCTACAGAAATGAGAATACAGGGAAGTTGTCACTAAGATAGCTAAATTAGTAAAATAAATTGAAACATTTACATGTAGGAGTTTAGGCTGGACTGAAAACATTATCCTGGATAGCTCAGTGGTTTGAGTATGTGAATTAATCTTCATGGTTTAGAGAAAACAAGCCAATACCCCAGATAGCATGACTCCGTTGGGCCAACGTTGGTTTTTGGTTGTATGGTTGGTAGAGTGTTGGCGTTGGGGAACAGATGTAGGCCCAACGTTGGTCCAACGTTCATTTACGTTGGCATGAAAGCTAAACCAACGGTGTTGGGCATGTAATGTTGGCCCAACGTTGGTCCAACGTTTATTTACGTTGGCATGAAAGCTAAACCAACGGTGTTGGGCATGTGATGTTGGCCCAACGTTGGTCCAACGTTCATTTACGTTGGCATGAAAGCTAAACCAACGGTGTTGGGCATGTGATGTTGGCCCAACGTAGATTCAACGTTCATTTACGTTGGCATGAAAGCTAAACTAACGGTGTTGGGCATGTGATGTTGGCCCCATATTGGCCCATTGTAGTAACATGTTGACAAGAACTATAGCGACTTGGTGTTGGACATTAAGATGTTGGCCCAACATAGGTCCAACCGAGTAAGTGTTGACATGAATCAAGACCATTGTGTGTTGAGTAGGAAATGTTGGCCCAACGTAGGTCTAACTGAGTACATGTTGACACAAAACATTGCCACTTATTGTTGGTTATTCAATATTGGCCCAACGTTGGCCCAGCTTAATAAATGTTGACAATATAATGATTCATTGCTCTGTGTTGGGCGTGCTGGACTGAACTGGAGTTGGTCCAATAAAAGGAATATTGGGATTACTAGTACATGACTGTACAGGTAGCCTGTAATGTTTGAGATGAAATGCTAGTCCAACGTTGGCCCAATGTTGCGAAAAGTATTCATCAATTTAGATTTATCTATTGTAAATCGATGGTAATGATATAAGCAACTCATTATAAACATGTGATCGATATTATATATTGAATTGAAAATATGAGACAATCCTTATAAGTCTGTGAATTACATATAGTAATTTTGTATCTTGGTAGATTCTATATTTAGCATCATTGAATCAAATTTAAAGTGCTGCGTTTTGCATGTTTTGGGCTCCAAAATAAATAGGTCACTGGTGAAATTCACTGGCTCGGCAGGTGACTCATAGGTCTCCAAGGAAACCGTCATCTTAATCAGTTTTTTTTTAACCGCGCACTTGAACAATGCAAAGCGTATGTGTCTGTTTAAGTGAATTTTAATCCTTTCAATGTAAGTATAGCTTTTGTTTTTGTTATTGAAATAATAATTAATGCACAACATTGTAATGGCCTGCATGTAGGCTTTCAAATTATTGGTACCGGGTAGCTGATTAAACAATTTTAATTGATGACGATCTTAATTTTTATAGGAATTGGCGGGCTTGAACAAAACAGATATGTCCGGATCTGAAAGTGAACGCAAGAATGTTAACCAGTGAGATGTAAGTAACTATTTTGTATTTATATTAATAATTAATACTGTGAAATTCAATCTTCAGGATTGCTTTAAAAATATGTGTGATGCTGATGAACATTTGAAAATACTATTTTAATTGATGACAATCTTAACGTTTACAGGAAATGCCGGGATGGAAAAACCCTCTTCACTCTGAGACTATTGATGTGGCATTTTCTGTATGTGGACGGGACTGATTTATATGTGTGGAAAAACATGGATTCTAAGAACAGATAAACAACAGGAAAAGTGATAAGTGATTCAAGTATGACCTTTCAAAACTGTACAATTACAACTTGAAGACTCTTATATCAAAGCGATATTTAGTAGTGGACATAGTGATGTGGAATGTACTTGAGAAACCTTGAACTTTCTACCTCTTCCTTCTTTTAGTTACATTCCATTGAATACTTTAATGAAAGTGAAAGTGGCAAAGAATCAATTGTGATACATTTTAGGAGGAAAAAAGTATTTGACCAAACATGGTGAAATTTATTGTGTCATATAATCTGGGAAATAAAAATTACAGAATTTAATTAATTTTGTAAGACATTTGTATTGAGGAATAATTGTGCCAATGATATTTCAAGAAACAGCTTTTTATCAACGTTGAATCAACGTAATAACTATATTTTGAACTGAGGTCCAATGTAGGGCCAACGTTACAAAATATTTGGTTAGCATTGGTACGTTGGAATAGCGTTGTACCAACGTTGGCATTTCAACAAAAGCATTGTACCAACGTTGGACCAACGTCGGACCAACGTCATGATTATATTTTGAACTGAGGTCCAACGTTGGGCCAACGCTTAAAAAATATTGCGTTGGCGTTGGTATGTTGGAATAACATTGTACCAACGTTGACAAATAAACAAACAGTATTGTACCAACATAGGCCCAACATGTTGGGCCAACGGCGCGCCAATGAGCAGTAGGACATTGGGCCAACGTAAATTGCCAACATTGGCCCAACATAACCAACATTGTTGGGCCAACGTTGGGCCAATGTCCTCATGCTATCTGGGACTACGTAAATAGAAACTAATCGCACTGAAAGTGTATTCTACCCTATTCCCTGGTACATGTACATTTATATAGGTGTAACCATCATGTCTTCAATAGCAAAACGCATGAAGTAAATAACACATATATTTAGACATAAATCTACTACTACATGCAAACACTGGATTGCTTAATGAGATTTTTAAAATCAAAGAAATGGTCATTCAGAAAATAAAGTAGAACAAGAAGAAATATACTCACTATAAATTTTATCAGATTGGCTTATACAAATGTTTAGCATTTATTCATTTGTAAAGTTTGGTCATTTCAAGTCCCCATATTTTATTTGTCTTTAAATTATAATGCTTGGCATATTAATTTAACACTCTATATTGTTTACAATTTGAGTAATTTGATCCTATGTATTGTACATTTATTGTTTGATGTTCTAAAATTGGATTCACAACTTTTCATGTCATCGTATGCAAAGTGAAAGTAGAACGAGTACATGTAATACATGCATATACTTTCGTAATTAATGATGTTCTTGTTGAAATAATTGTATAAATGTTGTTAAAAGAGTATGAACTGCTAGATGTTTTGTTTGAATTACATTTTTCACTGGTATTTTACCTGTATTGTGCAGACATGTGTTGTAGACTTGCAGACAGCTTATTTTTTCTATTTACATGGCGGCGCATTGCATTATGGTATACTTCCGGTTTATTTTTCTCTTGATCCGAGGTGTATATGGAAAAAGAGCACCAAAGACCCAGATTTTGACATCATTTCCTGGTTGAACAAGATGAAGCAGAGTAATAAATGGGTAGGCTTTACCTGATTGGCTGAATTGAGGTATGTAAATATTTTCATTTTAAAGTAAAAATATTAATGTTTGAAATAAATGATGGAATGTGGGAATATTACAAAAATTCTAGAAATACCAGGGGAGATTGTAGGAGTGGGGATTGATATTTTTGGCAGGGTGTCATTTACTGCCGATCTCTGTAAGTTCTAAATAACTGCAAATTTGACCTATAAACGCCGCGGAACGGTATATTTTTTTTCGTGTTTTTAATAAGTGCTTAGAACGAACTTTCAAATAATACCAGTGATTTGTTTGAACGGGAATTAGTAAATTACTTGGAGGGCAAAAGGTTTGTATAGAGTTCTATGGGAAATTAATTGGTACTCTTTTCCCTATAGAGACCCCATTTTTTAATAAGTAAAGTGAAGTGAAAGTCATGAAAAGTTATTTTTAGCAATTTATTTGAATATTGAAGACATTTCGAGAGAAAAATTAGCAAAAATTTGAATTATTTATCTGTGGAATTAGGGTTAGAGGTGATTTTGGGTCTTTTGTAGACATTGGGGGGGGGGGGGGGTTACAGAGGATGGAAATTGGTAAAACAATGTGTAGTTGACTTAGCCATAGGAGA